CCGTTGTCCCTGGACAGATTTAAAATGTCAAACTAAAAGCAAACACAACACTTGTATACAAAACAACAATGATAAAAACAGTGTACATTTACCATATATACAATTAGTTAAAAGTTAGTGTTGACAGGACTGTTTTGTAATGAACCATGATTTGAGATGAGTTTTGAACAGATTGTATGAGGCCAGTTCTCTGATGTTTGATGGGACTGTGTTCCACTCCTGAGACGCCCTCACAGAGAAGGCACTCTGGCTGAAGGCGCTCTTCCGGAGTGGGATAACACAGTCCCCACGGGCGGCCCCCCTGGTTACCCTGTGTGTGGTGTTCCTGACTGTGATAAATTGATTGAGAGGAGGTGAAGATGAACCATGAATGATCTTGTAAATGAGACAGAGATTAGAGTATTTGATGACATTTGTCCAATTTAGAAGATGGTGTTTTTGTAAAATGGAACAGTGGTGAAATCTTTGAGGTTTTTTGTCCAGTATCTTGAGTGTTTGCTTGTATAAGGATTCTATTGGTTTTAGGGATGTTTTGTTTGCCTGTGACCATGTGGTTAAGCAGTATGTAATGTGAGACAGAACCATAGAAAACATGAATAATCTTGCGGACTGAAGTGATAAGTTGGATCTGATGAACCGGAAATTAGCTAGGTTGAATTTGACTTTATTGGAAATGTTTTTTATGTGGGATTTGAATGTCAGCTTTGAGTCTATTGTTACTCCCAGATATTTGTATTCTGTCACGATTTGAATTTTTTGACCGGAAACTGAGATATTGATGTTATCATATGAGGTGTTGGATTTTGAGAAGAACATACCAACCGTTTTATTGACATTGAGCTTTAGGCAGCACTGATTTAACCAATTTGTGACATGAACCATAGACTGTGATAGTTTGTCGGCAGCTTGTGTGGGGTTTTTGGCGTGTATGTAAATTACTGTATCATCTGCGTACATTTGAACATTTGCATGCGGGCACACTGATGGAAGGTCGTTGATGTAAAGTGAAAAGAGTAGTGGGCCTAAAACGGAACCTTGTGGGACACCGGTGGACAATGGGAGAAAGGGGGAGCAGTGATTATTGATCCTGACAGACTGTACGCGATCTGATAGATATGACTTTGTCCATTTTATTGTACTTTGTGAAAAATTGAATTTGCTGAGCTTTGAGATGAGTATTTCATGATTTACAGTGTCAAACGCTTTTTTGAGGTCAAGAAACACTGCTCCTACAACTCCATTTTTATCCAGTAATTTTTTTTCATTTTCTATGAGGTAAACATTTGCTGTTTCTGTGGAATGTTGCGCCCTGAAACCGAATTGCATTGGATGAAGGGAGAATTGTGTTGTGTTTAGATGGGTAGCTATTTGTTGAGCAATGAGCTTTTCTGCAATCTTGGAAACTGTTGGGAGAATACTTATTGGCCTATAATTGCACAGAGACATAGGATCACCAGATTTATGGATTGGGATGACGGCAGCTTTTTTCCAGATAGTAGGAAACTGATTCTGGGATATAGAATAGTTTATCATTTTAGTTATGGGTGGGATGAATACAGTGCTGAGTTCTTTTACCATAAATGAATCCATGCCAAAAATATCTTTAGTTCTTGATGATTTAAGTGACCCTATCATCTGTCCAACTTCAGCCTCTGTCACATCAACAAAGGCGAAGGATGGTTCCAAGGTGTTCGTTGGATAAACAGTCATCTTGGTTGAGGGGAAAGATCCAGCGATCGCGGATACAGACTCGGAGAAAAAAACATTTGTTGCCTCAGCAATTATAAGTGGGTTTTTTAACACTTGTCCATTCACCCTAATTTCTGAAAGTGTTTTCCTTTTAGCGTCCTGTCCTACTAATTTCTTCAGATGATTCCAAATAATTTTAGAGTTCCCTTTAGCATTTTCTATTATGGTTAGGAAGAAATTAGCTTTGGCCCTACGTATACGATATACTACTTTATTTCGCAACGATGTGAACAGCTTTCTAGCAGTATTTGTCTTATTTTTCATTGCTTTTTTAAGTGCAAAATCTCTTTCCTTCATCAGTTTTAGAATATCCTGATCCATCCAAGGTAATTGATTTTTATTTTGTTTCCTATTGATTTTAGCACTGTGTTCCTTAATTAATTGCTCTATAGTTTTTAAGAATGTTTACTGTCTTCATCAATGTCTTTACCCTGCAGTAGTTGATCCCAGTTAGTTTGTTGAATCGAGTTTCTGAACATTTCCTGCATGTTTTTGGGAATTCCCACATATTCATTGTCACTGCTATATGAGTGAAATCTCTGATTTGAGAGCTTTCTGGTCACAAGAATCAGATTGTGGTCAGACAGACCAGATACAAAATTAAAGGATTTCATTATTCTTTCAGGTCGGTTTGTGAATGCTAAATCAATTTGCGTACTACTTATTGAGGTTATTCTTGTAGGTCCTTTCACCATTTGGGAAAATTCAAATTTGTCCATTATTCTTTTGAGATTTTTCCTACATGATGCGTCTTCCCAGTTTATATTAAAATCTCCTAAAATTATGATCTCCTTGCTGAGGTCACATTCTTTAAGTATTTTAGCAAATTTTTCATAGAAGCTTGCGTCAGATGACGGTGGCCGATACATAACAATAATCATAAATGTCATTTCTGGTGAAAGTATTATTCTCAGACCTAGGCATTCCAGCCCATCCACCCATTGAACAACATCACATTTGAAATGTTGTTTTAAGTATATCATAACTCCACCGCCCTTGGCTCCTTCTCTGTCTTTCCTGAACAGTTTGTATCCTGGGATATTAAGTGCTGCAGAAGGGGAATTTTTATGTAGCCATGATTCCGATAAGCAAAGGTAGTCTAGGTTAGATTTGAGTAACAAGTGACTGATTTGATCAGATTTCGATAAAACGCTTCTTATGTTTATATGTCCGCCTAAAATTCCTTTGGGTTTTGACTTCGGGTCCCAGATGAGTTTAGAATGATTGACAGTTTGAAAAAACGCCCATTTCCTGTGATTCGTGATCCCTGGATTAATTAATTTACGGTGTGTGCCACAGCGTGTCACACTTCTCAATGGAGGTCTTGGAGTAGCCGCGGAAAAAGAAGTTATCTGATCTGTACCACGCGCATTGTCCAGACACGGGACCGAAGGTGTAGCGCATTGATCACAGGAACTCCGCGAGTGGACTTTATCCGAATCTTCAGTGCACAGATGTGGACACGGTGCCATCCAATGCGAGCCATCACCAAACGGCCCACTCGCCCCCGCGGCTCCAACGTCGCCCTTAGGACCCTCATCTCGGACAGACCGCTTGGAAGCAGTTTGCGATGGACACAGAAGAGGCGAAGGATCAGCGTGGTGTGCGTTACAACACGATGGAATACCCGGGGAGCTTACCTGTAAGGTAGGAGTAACGCGTGTACTCTCTGATGATAGCGATAGCAGGTTAGCATCTCCCGGTAGCCGTGTCTCCGTGTGATGATCGTGAGGGCCAGGGCATGGGTGAATGTCACCGGATAGCATCAGACATATTGTGACAATGAGTCCAGACATCTGTGTTGTTCTTTGTACTTTCTTTGTTCTTTGTACTTTGTAAAGTGACGGATAGACAAAAGTCATACCCAGCGTATACTTTCCATAACTGATGCTTGCCTTTGCCAACTCATGATAATTCGTTTGTTTGTAGCTCTGATCTTCAGGTTTGGGAATTGTAGAATTCCAGTCAAACATAGGTGAGTATTTTCCTTTTATGTGAGTTGTATTGTTTGCAAGGTTTACAAACAAAAAGTAGACTAGGAGCGCAGTGACAGCCCCTGTCACACCCGCAGCCGCCATCTTTGATTAGTAGTGTCTGTCCATTTTCTTCTGCTTTGTCTGTTGCCGGGCCGTGCCAGTCCGAGCAATTGTAATGTGTGTAAGCAAAAAAAAAAAAAATAATAATAATAATAATAATTCGTACCTTTTAAGTAAATTGATGTAACTCTAAGCTAGTAAAAGTAAGGTAAGGCAGTTTTAATTAGAGCAGGTAAGGTTAGTTAGTAGGTAATAGAATAGGTATCTAGGGTAATATGTATAAGTTACTAATGTATGTTTGTGTTCTTAATATTGTGTATTCTTTTTTGTTCATTACCATTGTTGGTATATTTTCTATTACCATTATTGGTAACTGTGGCAAGAGCTCTGGTGTGTGTCGTCTCTGTCTGGCGCACACCGGGGTAGTCTTGCACAGTTTTTCCAATGTGGTTTTACTGCAAATGGCAAATAAATGAAAAAATAAATGAATCTGTTGTTACAATGTAAATGTCCTTGTTGCCCGTGATAACGCCACTCTGGTATGATACTGGCTTGAACTGTAACAGTGAAGTTGATCGTTTAATCACTGAAATGGGGATATAGGGGTGGGATTAAATAAGTTTTTTCTTCCTCCCACTCCTTTTCAGGCAGAAATATATGGCCATGTTAAACCATAGATTTTTGTTTATACATTTTTTGTTTACACTGTTTTTTTGTTTGTTTGTTTTTTTTGTTTTTTGCTTTATATTATTTATATTACTTAATTGCTTTTAATTACGTCATTTTCTCACTTTTGCCATTGCCTGAAATAAATTAATAAATAATATAAAAAAATTAAAAAAAATTGTCTTGGGCCCCATATATAAGCTAAATGTTGCTTCAAGGGTGTCCCGTTTATGAATATGCACTAACATCTATAAATGGATGTTAAAATGTTTTTTACTGTATATTTGTAATAAACTGAACTGAACTGAACTGAACTGAACTGAACTGAGCAGAAACAAACCCAGACTCTCCAGCAATAGTCCCCAGTGTGTCCTGGGTCTGCCCCTGGTCTCCTCCCGATGGGACAAGCCTGGAACACACGCCCAGGGGGAGGTCCAGGAGGCCTCCCAAACAGACGTCCGAGCCTCCTCAACTGGCTCCTGCTGACATGGAGAAGCAGCTCTACTCTGAGTTCCCTTGTGTGAAACTGAGCTGTTATTATTTTGATAATTAGTGGATTGATGGTTTCCAGTCGAGTTGATTGGTTATGATTGTTTTATTACAAAGGCACCAGGAGGAGGAGCAGCAGGAGGAGGAGGAGGAGGAGGTCCACAGGGAGCACACACACAGAGGAGGAGGAGGTCCACAGGGAGCATCCACAGAGGAGGAGGAGGTCCACAGGGAGCACACACAGAGGAGGAGGTCCACAGGGAGCACACACAGAGGAGGAGGAGGTCCACAGGGAGCACCCACAGAGGAGGAGGTCCACAGGGAGCACACACAGAAGAGGAGGAGGTCCACAGGGAGCACCCACAGAGGAGGAGGAGGTCCACAGGGAGCACACACACAGAGGAGGAGGAGGTCCACAGGGAGCACACACACAGAGGAGGAGGAGGTCCACAGGGAGCACACACACAGAGGAGGAGGAGGTCCACAGGGAGCATCCACAAAGGAGAAGGAGATCCAAAGGGAGCACCCACAGAGGAGGAGGAGGTCCACAGGGAGCACACACAGGTGAGGAGGAGGTCCACAGGAGCACACACAGAGGAGGAGGAGGTCCACAGGGAGCACACACAGAGGAGGAGGTCCACAGGGAGCACCCACAGAGGAGGAGGAGGTCCACAGGGAGCACACACACAGAGGAGGAGGTCCACAGGGAGCACACACAGAGGAGGAGGTCCACAGGGAGCACCCACAGAGGAGGAGGTCCACAGGGAGCACACACAGAGGAGGAGGTCCACAGGGAGCACCCACAGAGGAGGAGGTCCACAGGGAGCACCCACAGAGGAGGAGGTCCACAGGGAGCACCCACAGAGGAGGAGGTCCACAGGGAGCACCCACAGAGGAGGAGGTCCACAGGGAGCACCCACAGAGGAGGAGGAGGTCCACAGGGAGCACCCACAGAGGAGGAGGAGGTCCACAGGAGCACCCACAGAGGAGGAGGTCCACAGGGAGCACCCACAGAGGAGGAGGTCCACAGGGAGCACCCACAGAGGAGGAGGTCCACAGGGAGCACCCACAGAGGAGGAGGAGGTCCACAGGGAGCACCCACAGAGGAGGAGGAGGTCCACAGGGAGCACCCACAGAGGAGGAGGTCCACAGGGAGCACACACAGAGGAGGAGGAGGTCCACAGGGAGCATCCACAGAGGAGGAGGTCCACAGGGAGCACCCACAGAGGAGGAGGAGGTCCACAGGGAGCACACACAGAGGAGGAGGTCCACAGGGAGCACCCACAGAGGAGGAGGAGGTCCACAGGGAGCACCCACAGAGGAGGAGGAGGTCCACAGGGAGCACCCACAGAGGAGGAGGTCCACAGGGAGCACCCACAGAGGAGGAGGTCCACAGGGAGCACCCACAGAGGAGGAGGAGGTCCACAGGGAGCACACACACAGAGGAGGAGGTCCACAGGGAGCACCCACAGACAAGGAGGTCCACAGGGAGCACACACAGAGGAGGAGGTCCACAGGGAGCACACACAGAGGAGGAGGTCCACAGGGAGCACACACAGAGGAGGAGGAGGTCCACAGGGAGCACCCACAGAGGAGGAGGTCCACAGGGAGCACACCCAGAGAGGAGGAGGTCCACAGGGAGCACCCACAGACAAGGAGGTCCACAGGGAGCACACACAGAGGAGGAGGTCCACAGGGAGCACACACAGAGGAGGAGGTCCACAGGGAGCACACACACAGAGGAGGAGGAGGTCCACAGGAGCACACACAGAGGAGGAGGAGGTCCACAGGGAGCACCCACAGAGGAGGAGGTCCACAGGGAGCACACCCAGAGAGGAGGAGGTCCACAGGGAGCACCCACAGAGGAGGAGGAGGTCCACAGGGAGCACCCACAGACGAGGAGGTCCACAGGGAGCACCCACAGAGGAGGAGGAGGTCCACAGGGAGCACCCACAGAGGAGGAGGTCCACAGGGAGCACACACAGAGGAGGAGGTCCACAGGGAGCACCCACAGAGGAGGAGGAGGTCCACAGGGAGCACCCACAGAGGAGGAGGAGGTCCACAGGGAGCATCCACAGAGGAGGAGGAGGTCCACAGGGAGCATCCACAGAGGAGGAGGAGGTGTCTCTGTGTTTCCGAGTCTTGCAGACGGTCCATAACTTTCTAAAATCCTCTGAGACTAAATTGAAATTTCTGAGAGATAAGTCATGAATCCATTCAATTTCATATTTTGTTGTATTCTGAGACATTTTCAAACCAGTTTAGAGCAAAACAATTATCGCTGGAAGAAAATAATAAGAAAAAGGGAATTAAAATTATTTATTTGCACCATTCGTTTGCAAATGAGCAATTTAGATTCAAATTAGTTGTTTTATATTCCAAACCATCTTTTCAACAAAAACTGTGTCGTGACTCAAATAATCCTAGATTATATGATATTAGTGGAATTACTGATATTAACAGCAGTAAAACAAGACTTAAGCTTAACTACAACAATAACTGGTATTTTACGTACTTTTAAGTACTTTACCTGTTTTATGGTATTTTTAATGTTGCAAATACGTTCATAACAACTTAACATGAACCTAAACAGTCATAATGATTATTTACATGTACGTCTGGTCTTACCATGTGTAAACTCTGGTCCATGGTCATTTCCTACATGTACGTCTGGTCTTACCATGTGTAAACTCTGGTCCATGGTCATCTCCTACATGTACGTCTGGTCTTACCATGTGTAAACTCTGGTCCATGATCATTTCCTACATGTACGTCTGGTCTTACCATGTGTAAACTCTGGTCCATGATCATCTCCTACATGTACTTCTGGTCTTACCATGTGTAAACTCTGGTCCATGATCATTTCCTACATGTACGTCTGGTCTTACCATGTGTAAACTCTGGTCCATGATCATCTCCTACATGTACGTCTGGTCTTACCATGTGTAAACTCTGGTCCATGATCATGTCCTACATGTACGTCTGGTCTTACCATGTGTAAACTCTGGTCCATGATCATTTCCTACATGTACGTCTGGTCTTACCATGTGTAAACTCTGGTCCATGATCATTTCCTACATGTGCGTCTGGGTCTGATCCTAGTGGCTGCAGTTTCCTCGGTTGAATCCCCTCCGACCAATCAGAGAGCGGGGGAGGCGGGTGTTGTAGGTCGGTGTCGGTGACGTTTTGGACTTTAATCACAAATGAAACATCCAGAACATCCACAAGCGCCGGAGGTGGGTTACACCAGCGAGGAGAGAGGAGGAGAGAGGAGAGAGGAGGAGAGAGGAGAGAGGAGGAGGGAGAAGGAGAGAGGAAGAGAGGAGAGAGGAGGAGTGGAGGAGAGAGGAGGAGGAGAGAGAGGAGGAGGAGAGAGGAGGAGGGAGAAGGAGAGAGGAGAGAGGAGGAGGAGAGAGAGAGGAGGAGGAGAGAGAAGCGAGAGGGAGGAGAGAGGAGGAGGAGAGAGAGAGGAGGAGGGAGAAGGAGAGAGGAGAGAGGAGGAGGGAGGAGAGAGGAGAGAGAGAGGAGGAGGAGAGAGGAGGAGGGAGAAGGAGAGAGAGAGGAGAGAGGGAGGAGAGAGGAGGAGAGGAGGAGGAGAGAGAAGGGAGAGAGGAGAGAGGAGGAGGAGAGAGAGAGGGAGGAGGAGAGAGAAGGAGAGAGGAGGAGAGAGGAGAGAGGAGGAAAGAGAGAGGGGGAGGGAGGAGAAAGTAGAGAGAGGAGAAAGGAGGAGAGAGGGGGAGGGAGGAGAGAGGGAGGAGGAGAGAGGAGAGAGGAGGAGGAGAGAGAGAGGAGGAGAGAGAGGAGGAGAGAGAAGGAGAGAGGAGGAGAGAGGATGAGAGAGAGGAGGAGGAGGAGAGGAGGAGGAGAGAGAGGAGGGAGCAGGAGGATAGAGGAGGAGGAGAGAGGAGGGAGGAGGAGAGAGGAGAGAGAGGAGGAGAGAGGAGAAAGAGAGAGGAGGAGAGAGGAGAGAGAGGAAGGAGAGAGAGAGGAGGAGAGGGAGAAGGAGAGATAGAGGAGGAGAGGAGAGGAGGGAGGAGGAGAGAGAGGAGGAGAGAGAGAGGAGGAGGAGAGAGGAGGAGGGAGAAGGAGAGAGGACAGAGGAGAGAGAGAGGAGGAGGGAGAGAGGAGAGAGGAGGAGAGATAGAGGAGGAGGGAGACGGAGAGAGGAGGAGAGAGAGAGGGGGAGGGAGGAGAAATGAGAGAGAGGAGAAGGAGGAGAGAGGAGGGAGAGAGGGGGGAGGGAGGAGAAATGAGAGAGAGGAGAAAGGAGGGAAAGAGGAGGAGAGAGAGAGGGGGAGGGAGGAGAAATGAGAGAGAGGAGAAAGGAGGAGAGAGGAGGAGAGAGAGAGGGTAGGGAGGAGAAAGGAGAGAGAGGACAGAGGAGAGAGAGGAGGAGGGAGAAGGAGAGAGGAGGAAAGAGGACAGAGGAGAGAGAGAGGAGGAGGGAGGAGAGAAGAAGAAGAGGAGTAGAGAGGAGCCCCAGGAGAAGCCGTGATAAGTGGCTGTAGAAGTGAGGACAAGATTATGTGATTATGGGATTAACAGAGTGGTGCATTTCTATGGAGAGCTACTGCCTTCAGCTAACATGTGGAGAGCTACTGCCTTCAGCTAACATGTGGAGAGCTACTGCCTTCAGCTAACATGTGGAGAGCTACTGCCTTCAGCTAACATGTGGAGAGCTACTGCCTTCAGCTAACATGTGGAGAGCTACTGCCTTCAGCTAACATGTGGAGAGCTACTGCCTTCAGCTAACATGTGGAGAGCTACTGCCTTCAGCTAACATGTGGAGAGCTACTGCCTTCAGCTAACATGTGGAGAGCTACTGGTGACTAAAACTTAAAAAACAGAAGTTATACAGCAGATTGTTGAAATACTATTGCTAAAGGCTAAATGCTAACTGCTAACTGCTGTTGCTATGGTAACCAGCACGTGTTCTTCTCTGGTAGAAAACCATGGATGTATTATATTAACTGGATAGGGTAGTACTAGCTTGTAGCTGAATAACTCATGTGCTCGGGGGATTCTCGCGGTACTGCAGACTGAACCAGACTGAACCAGACTAAAGTCACGTGGGCTACCCAGAAATGTTCCCCATAGAACTCAATGCATATTAAAACAGCTCAACCTCAGCTGACAGAGAACCTGACAGAGAACCTACAGCTTTAATAAAGATCGGATTTTGTGGGGATTTTAGTGTCCCTTGTCGTCCTGAACTTTTTTTCTTCTTAAATCCTTCGGTTTTGTTTAAATCCACACTTTAGTGCCACAAACTCTGCTCCTCTGGCTCTCGCTCTAACTCCCGCTCTGATGAACTGCTCTGATTGGTCAGAGCGCGGCCGAGCCCCTCTGTGCACGTGCGTGAGACCCTCTGTGCACGTGCGTGAGACCCGGTGTGAGACCCACACACGCGTGTTTGGCGCAATGCATTATGGGAGATCATCCACTGCACAGAACCGGGAGGACCAGACGATGCCCAAATACAGGAGAGTTTCCCATAGATCTTTGAGAGTTTCTCATAGATCTTTGAGAGTTTCCCATAGATCTTTGAGAGTTTCCCATAGATCTTTGAGAGTTTCCCATAGATCTTTGAGAGTTTCCCATAGATCTTTGAGAGTTTTCCATAGATCTTTGAGAGTTTCCCATAGATCTTTGAGAGTTTCCCATAGATCTTTGAGAGTTTCCCATAGATCTTTGAGAGTTTCTCATAGATCTTTGAGAGTTTCCCATAGATCTTTGAGAGTTTCCCATAGATCTTTGAGAGTTTCCCATAGATCTTTGAGAGTTTCCCATAGATCTTTGAGAGTTTCCCATAGATCTTTGAGAGTTTCCCATAGATCTTTGAGAGTTTCCCATAGATCTTTGAGAGTTTCCCATAGATCTTTGAGAGTTTCTCATAGATCTTTGAGAGTTTCCCATAGATCTTTGAGAGTTTCTCATAGATCTTTGAGAGTTTCCCATAGATCTTTGAGAGTTTCCCAGAGATCTTTGAGAGTTTCAGGCAACTTCCGCTAATCTTTCAGCCCCCATGCTGTCACAAAGCGCCACTGAGCACAACTATTCATTTGAATAGGGCGCCATCTTGGATCGCCGGGGCTTATAGAAACCCAACTGAACCAAAACCTGTGCAGAACCAGGACCTTGAAAAAAATCTCTAACTTTAGCATAATAAAGAAGCTAGTATAAAATCTCTAACTTTAGCATAATAAAGAAGCCAGTATAAAATCTCTAGCTTTAGCAAAATAAAGAAGCTAGTATAAAATCTCTAACTTTAGCATAATAGAGAAGCTAGTATAAAATCTCTAACTTTAGCATAATAAAGAAGCTAGTATAAAATCTCTAACTTTAGCATAATAGAGAAGCTAGTATAAAATCTCTAACTTTAGCATAATAAAGAAGCTAGTATAAAATCTCTAACTTTAGCATAATAAAGAAGCTAGTGTAAAATCTCTAGCTTTAGCATAATAAAGAAGTACACATATGTATTTTTAAACCTTTATCTACGGTTAAACTTGACCTACAACGCTAACACGCGGGTTCACGACACAACACGCTGCGACTGGATATTAGCATGACCCAGTAAATGTAGCGCAGCTAGCGGGTGTTAGCTCCTGAAGTCTCTGAGGCCATTGTTTCCACCGCTTCACGGACGCCGCTCGGGGCGATGTGGAGCATGAATTATGAGTTTGTGTGTGTGAGCAGCTGGTGCGGAGGTGGGGGGCTTCCGTGCGCCAACACACCTTTAAAACATTTACATCACAGAGAAATAAACTACACTGAAAAGAATTGCTCGCTGACAGTAGTTTCTGTGAGTTCATTCTGGGTTCATCTCCCTCCTGCTGTTAGAGGGAGAGCAACATGGGACTTTAAGAGCCAAACTTCATCCATGAGCACTTCCCTATTCGAATGTATTGAGCTAGAGCAGGGGTGTCGAACTCATTTGGTTTGAGGGCCAAATAAAAAATATAAGACCGGGTTTTCTTTTTTAATAAATATTTTTGTCATTATGAAGGTATTTTGATACATAACTTTATTCACATTTTTTCAGAACAAAATTATTTCAGTTACTTTGAAATGAACCAAAACTGGACCAGATCAAGATGAAAAATTGTCTTCATCTACATTTCTAATATATAGGTTTTTGTTCAGCTCTAAGCGCC